CCATGACACTCTCCCGGCCACTCCGACTAACTCCTCATTGGGCTAAGTCATGGGTGGCCCCGTGTCTACCCCAGACACGAACGACCACCGTCGTGGCAAAATGGCCACCATAGTGGCAAAACGGTCCCAAACAGGGACACGTGCACATAACCAAACTCGGGCTCACAAGGCTTATGTCGTCCTACCTGGCCAAGGTAGCGCCCGCGCATAACCTTCCCTCGTTGGAGGCACCGGAGAGACGCACACAACAAGTGTGGTTGCACTGGTTAGCTCGATATGGTGGCACCATGACTCGACCAACAGTTGTTCAAGTTCAATTTAATACGGTTAAACTTGAATGCAAATATGCCGAGCCATGATAGAATAACATGATGCAATTACAATGCATGAGCATGATATCAACATAAACATAAGGTACAACATAACTATCGACCATATCAACAATGAATCATATCCAACTGAGCATGTCATAATGACGTGCATGAATATCACAAGTACAACACTACTCATAGAAACCTAGCATGACCACTAGCATCAAAAATAAATATCATGCAAGACATATCAATAATGATACCATGCAAGCATTTAACCAATTGAATGCAATGGAACATGCATACGACGACAATCGGAACAGACGATAGTCATGCACCGAAAACCATCACCAACATCAACATGTAATACTAAAAAGCATAAGCATATGAAAGGAATACTAACAATTAGCAGGGCATGATAACCAGGTGCATCACAACATAGCAAGAAAGTAAGCACTAACCCAGAAGCATTACCGAAACAACGATAACCATGTTTTAAACGAGCAAACATTTATTAAATATTCGAATTGAAAACCATGGATAGTCAATTACTCATGCAAGTGGGTATTGTGGCTTGCCTGGGGGTGAAGAAGGCACCGGGGAGAAGTGCGGTGAAGCCGCGGAAAGATTTGCTGGAAATAGTCCTCTCCCAGAGGGGGCTGTTTACGTGCAAGGGCAAAATGGTCATTTTCAGAAGGTTAACAAATGTTGAAAGTGTGACCAACAGAACGGCTCGACAAAACGAAGAAGTGGGCTTTGGATTCACCTCAAACGGAGTTGCGAGCAAAAAGTTGTGAGGTGATGAAGATCAGGGACTTTTCTGTAAAAATATCATCACAAATAAGTCCTTGAGTGGATAAGGCAGAAACGGGTTTTGAGAAAATACGCTTTCGATAAGGTAAAGTGTACTCACAGGAGTACGTCTCCACTTATCCACGTAAGCGTGGGCGGGGCCGGGGCTGGTCAACGACTAAGGGGCTGACGCGCGGGGCCCGCGGCCAGCTGGCAGGGAGGGGCGTCGTCTCCGTCCTCTCCTTGCTCGCGCCCGCGCCTGGCCGAGGCAGAGCCGGCGCCCGACGGCGACTGCCGGCAGCTCCGGCCACCTCCCGCGTCGTGCCACCTACTGGAGTGATCATCGCGACAAGGCGGATCCATCCAGATACGACACGGCCGCCAGGGAGCTTGGGGTTGGGCGAGGCACTGGCCATAGCGGATGACGGCCATGGTGAAGATGGACTCGGTGCTAGGGTCGCGGGGAAGAGGTGTGGAGGCGCGGGGTCGATCTGGAGGGGTGGTGTAAGGCTCTGGTGACGGCCAATAGGAGAGGGAGGGCTTGGTTGCCGCAAATTTAGGTGGGCATCGACGGCGGCCATGGCGGCCATAGGAGGGCTCGGGAGGTCCTAGAGCTCGTTTGAGAGGCTGGGCAGGACCAGAGGAGGGTGGTGAGGCTGCTGGAGTGCTCGGGCTGCGCGGGGAGGGGCTACTTATAGGCAGGGAGGAAGGGGTTGAGCTGGCGTCGTCGGGGACGCCTGTCCGGCGCCGCGGACGCGTGTGCTCGCGTAGGGACTCGAGGGAAGGCGACGGGGAGACGCAGAGAGCAGCCCACGGGGCTAAGGGGGCCAACGAAGCATGGGAAGGAAGAAGACGGCGACGAACCGAGCCAAAACACCACTGTGCGTCCGTGGGCACACGACGGTTTGCGTCGGTGAGCAAGTGGACGGAGGGGGAGAGGGGTCCAGGGGAATGGCGACGATGAGAGCTAGCTACTGGACACGCTCACGCGTGCGAAGACGACGAGAGGCGGAGGGGCCCGAGCAAGAAGCCACCCAGCTCGCGTCCATGGCATGCCAGAGAGGCGGTCACCGCGCGCACTGGTGCACACAGTGTCACAAGCGATGCCAAACAATGTCTAGGGTTTAGTCCTTCCTGGGTAGGTCTCAACTGCGGTGGTAACTTGGTTAAAAATGCTCTGGTTAAATGGTAAGCAACCTTTGAAGTTTACTGCAGTAAACTTGATCAACTAAGTGTGATCAACAGAGAGATGCTATAGGTCAAATGTTACGTTTTGGGTGTTTAGGCGTATAGGATGCCTCTTCGCATCCTTATGACGTATCCGGATGACCGCCCGTCCTCCAATGTCCAATACATGTGTGGACAGAGCATATCACATACGTCTTATTAGAAGCAATCGTCTATGTTATTATCGGTCTTCACAGACATTTCTGATTACAGACCTGTTTAACGCGTATCACACACATCTTGTTATATTGAACCGTTTCTGTTTTCTTGTGTCAATGCAAACAGTTCATCCGAGTGAACCGCATGCTGTATATCGCACACACCTTGATCTGTCTGACCGTTTCTTTTGTGTTGTCTAATCACAAATAGTTCATCGAGTGAACCACATGTTGTGTATCGCACACGCCTTCATCTGGCTGCCCCTTTCTTTTGTTCCTTCTCATCGCAAACAGTTAATTGAACTGAACCGTATGCTCTACATCGCACGCGCAACTAAAATGTGAACCGTGTTTGATGTATCCGTCATCACAAATGTTTTGCACATTTTTAACAGTTTTCTTACACCACCGTTTACGATTATTGCATCGCACACAGTTTCTCGAAGGGTCTCTGATCGTAGTGTCGCGTTAGAAGCATCCTACAATAGCGTTAGTACATTTACAAAAAAGAAAAAACAGGCGGTGCGTTTTCATCCTTCCCGGCGGGCGTTTGATAGCGCTGCAAAGGGACGATGGCATTTGCTTTGGACGTTGGTGGAGGTTGGGATCCCCGAGGGCTTCCCTTCTTGTAATTGTCTTTTCTGTGGAGTCCTTTTTGTGTTTGCGCCTGAACTGGTGACCTGTCTCTCAAAGTCTCTAGCGGTGGTGTCTGCTTGCGTGTTGTATCCTTTACTTGGTATAGTAATGCTTGCACACTTTCTAAAAAAATGACTGAAACATAAAGTAATTTTAGTGTTTTTTGCGAATAAAAGTAATTTTAGTTAACCGTAGTATAGATGGTCCCTTTTTTCAAAGAACGATGTATAATTTTTAGTTTCAGTAAGAATGATCTTTTGTAAGAATTGGTCAACTTTAATATATGGCCTGTAAAAAAAAGAACGGAGGGAAGTAAATTTTGGCAGGCAAATCAATAAAATAGGTGACAATAATGCCGTCAGATCAAAATGACCAAAGTGCAAACAAGATACTTGCAAAAAAAATGAATGTAAAATATAGGAGTTAACTTAAAAAAATCATGAATACGCAAAAGACTTGCGTATCATTGCATTGATAGAAGAAAAGAAGTTTTAAAATTTTGGATGATATTACATTGTAAATATAGTAAATAAGAAATAAACACACACTCATACCCACAACGGATGTAATGCTCTCAACTGCGCTGTGTTTCCGGGCTTAATGGTATTTATTTAATATAAGGTCCTTACAGATCTCTCATATAAGATAGAGGTATAAAACTACGCAGGATGAAATGAGCCGTATATAGGAGTAAGTCATATTTCCCTCAAAAAAAGGAGTAAGTCATATTTCCCTGGGTATGGCTGTAAGGGGGGTGACTAGAGATAACACCACCCCACACTTCTCTGTCATGTCTATCCCAGCCTCCTTGACCTCCGCCGGAAGCTCCCACTCGAACCGATGGAGAAGCGTGCCAAGTATCAGGGGTATCAGCTTCTGTGCAAGCGGCATCCCGGGGCAGATGCGTCGGCCAAGACCGAATGGGATCATGTCAAAATCCTGCCCCAGCTGGAAGTTCTTGGTCTCGCCGCCGATGAACCTCTCTGGGACGAACTTATCCGGATCCGACCATGCGTCGACGCTCCGGTTAATCGCCCATGCGTTGAGGATCACGTTGGTGCCTTTAGGGATCCTGTAACCATTCACCTCGATGTCAGCCTCCGCTTTGCGAGGTACTAGCGGCACCACCATCCGCAGACGAAGGATCTCTTTGACGACGACTTGGAGGTATGGGAGCCGGGCAATGTCGGATTCTTCCATGAGCGGTTTGTCGCCAAGAACCGTAGCGAGCTCCTCCTTGACCTTGCGCATCACCTCTGGGTTCTGAAGCAGATCCACCATTCCCCACTCGATGAGAGCCGCTGTCGTGCTCGCTCCAGCGCCGTACAAATCCTGATAATTAATGAAGGTCAGCATGCATATTAGTAGGTTAATCACATATCTGGCCATGACTTATCTAGAGCTAGCTTAATGCAAGTGACATGATTCTTGGAGGAGAGAGAAGAGATAGGAGACGAGGACGTACAGAGAGGAGTGCTCTCATGACATCATGGCTTAGCTGAGACCCCTCCTGCTTCCATTCGCCGTCCTTATCGAGGACCGTGTCCAACACGTCCTTCTTGGGCGCCTCTCCGGCTTCCCGGCTACGCCGCCGTAGAGCCACCTGATCGTCGAAGTGGCGGTACATGATGGCGAAGAGGTTCGTCATCCTGCGGCGCAGGCCCTGGAGGTCGAGCGCGGCGATCGGCGGGAATATGTCGGAGACGTTGGCCGTCCCGAGCATCCCAACGATATCTTCGATGATATCCCTGAACACGGCCCGTTCCTTGGGCTCCAGGTCGGTGGAGTAGAGCACCCCCAGCAGCAGGCTCAGGATGGAGTCGAGCACCGCGTGCCTGAACACGACGGCCGTGCCGCGCGCGGCGTGGCCGGACACCTAGCGGTGCAGCGCCTCAACGATCTTGGTCTGCAGCAGCGCCCCGGCCCCAGCGGAGATCCGCCTGGGAGCCAGCATCTCTGCGGCGGCGAACTTGCGGATCGCGCGCCACTTGCCGTCCTGGCTCGGGAGCGCGAAGATGGTGTGGGCGCGGTGGCCCATGGCGCTGAGGACGTCCAGGCTCGGGAGGCCGGCGATGTTGTCCACCTTCTTGCCTTCCCCGCCGAAGACGGCGCGCAGGGCGTCCGGCGTGGAGATGATCACGTGGGGCACCATGCCGAAGCGGAGGCACATGAGGCCACCGTAGCGGTCGGCCAGGCGCAGGAACGCGCGGTGCTGCTGGCCGTCCTCCCCGAGGTCGAGGAGGTCGCCGATGATAGGCTTCGGAGGCCAGGGGCCCGGAGGAAGACGCCGGCGAGCGTCACGGAGCAACTGGAAGATGTACAAGGAAAAGAGGACGAGGATAAGCCATCCTAGGCATTCAACAAGGAAGGAGGCCATTTTGCTGGGTGAAGTCGGTCGCAAAGGAAAGGATGCAGCTTGCAGTGAGTTGGGACATTGCACTGCGACGCATTTATATAGTGCAAATGCACCCCATGAGAGATCTTTATTATCTCTAGTGTTTTGCTTGGTTAAGTCGATCGCAAAGGAGGCAGCTTGCAGTGAGTTGGAGACGTATTCGGTTGTTGGTGAAGTCTAAGCTGCCATGTTTGAATAGAAAAGTATATACAGGCACGAGGCTACTATTTTTGGTTTTGAGGGAACATGCATGAGGCTACTAAATTGGATCGATATCGACGTGGTGCAACCAGGGCAACATGCAGGGAAAAAAGGGCCCACTTTCTCCTTGATAAACGAAAATTCAGAGTGTTCTGGTTCGAGGGTCATGCTAGCTATATGTCACGTATACGTTGAATTCATGAATGTGTTCATCCATTATTATATCGGATTTGCTGAAACTCAGTTAGCTGAGTTTCAAGTTTGGTCGCATTCACCATATCAACCTTTGGACCTTTTTCGCGTCGCGATTCGTGTTTTTTGTTGGTGGGCAGGTTGTCTCTGTGTGCCGCGGCCTGTTATGTGTTGGGCTTGTTTTCGTGGGTTTTCTTTTCTTTTTTTCTTCACTTATCCGGGCCGTTTCCGCTTTGCTTTCCCTGCCCATTCCGCTCCCCTGCCTTTTAAGAGGCGAAGCTTCCCGAGTCTGTTGACTCCCATTTCCCGCAGCGCCTCTGTTTGTCTTCTGACTCCCATACAAAGAACTCTCTATTCGTCTTGGATTCGGGGTAGAGAGGGAGGAAGATCTGAAAGGGGGGAGGAGAGAATCACCGTTTGTTCAAGTAAGACATCCTTTTCCCCCCTTTTCCATCTTTGATGTAGTTCTAGGGTTAGTGCATATGTAATGAATAGAATGGGGAGGTTGTCAGGCCTTCTTTTTATAGTTTTGTTTTTATTTTGAATGATGTCAGAGAGGATCCACAGAACCCTTTTTTTGTTAGGAATGCTGTTAGAGAGGGGGGAGATTTAAGAGGTTGATACATGGTCTGAACGGGGGCGTGATTGATTTTTGTATGAATGTAGATGAAGATATTTTTTTCAGTGATTTTTTGTATGAATGCAGCAGGGGTTTCTTTTTGTGATGTACATTTTCTAGTTTGATGTCGAGTAGGCTATGCTTCTTCCACAGGTTCCTATATAGATATAGATGAGATCTGTTCAGTTATTTTTTGTATGAATGCAGTAGGTTTTTCTTGTTTTGATGTAGATTTTCTAGTTTGATGTCCAGTAGGGTATGCTATTTTTCTACAGGTTTCCCATATAGATATAGATGAGATCTGTTCAGGATTTTTTGTCTTTTTTAGGAGCTGATTGTTGTGGCTTCAGCAGGGTTGTCCAATTCGGGCATTTGCTGTAAAACTCTGTTTCTCATACATGCCTTGCTTGTTCAGTTTTTGTCGGTTACTTTTGTAAAGACACACTGCATGATCTTGACAGTGTATTATCTTCAGATATAGCTGCTTTGTTTGGTGTAAATCAGTGTCAAATTTGGGACCTGTCATTTTATTTTTTGTTCAGTCTTGTGTGCGCCAATACATGCCTTGCTCGTTCATTTTTTTATTCATTCAGTCTTTGTTTGTGCCTATACATGCCTTGCTCGTTCATTTCTTTTATTCATTCAGTCTTTGTTTGTGGCTATAGATGCCTTGCTCTGTTCTCCCTTGTCCGTATTATTTTCAGTAGGTTTTTGTTTAGTTGGTCTGTAATGTATGCCAATGATTTTTGGACACATGCCGTTCTTTTTTGCTTATGGTAGGTTTTCGGGCCTTATTTTTTGATTTTTTTGTAGGTAGTAGGTTGTGCTATATCTACCGTTTTTAGCTGGAGTTTTTTCAAACTGCAGAATGTTTGGTCTCAATATTTTTGATCTATCATAGATTGTCAGTTCTACTACCTTTTATGCGCCCTAAATTTTTTGAAACTGTGAGAATGTGTTTATAGATAGGGAACAGAGAAGTGTTTTTTCCGAGACATGTGTGTGGAGCCGTAGATGATTTTGTTCAGTGCAAAATATTTAATTCTTAGCATTGGTCTAGTAGTATACGGTCGCTGTAGGCGTAGATGATTTTTTTTCCAGTGCAATATTTTTTAATTCTTGTAATATTGTATACGGTCGCTGTAGCCGAGGCCAAGTGCGGGGCACAGGGGCTCAGGATTGTCCTGCCCACATCCTGGGATGTCTACTGAAAGGGAACTTGACCCTTGTAACACTACCCTCCTAGGACTGCCCACATCCTGCCTTTTGTGCACCGGCCGACAGCCACAAACATCACAAACAAGCAGATGGTAAATGTTATACTACCGAATGTATTCTATTGTTTCATTCATTTCATTTTTTCTTGTCTAATATGCTTTTCCTGTGTAATGTGTATTGTTATTATGTAGAAAATCCCGAGGAAAGTGGCTGAACAACTAAACTTGCCACCAGAAGGTGTAGCTGGCATTTGCTTCGAAGCTGGAGAGCGCATGAATGTTGCATACCGCACAGATCGTGATGGCCGCATGGTTTTCAACAAGCAGTGGGGTGCCTTTGCAACCCAGAGCAACCTTCAAGAGGGCGACGATGTTGTTTTCAATTTCAAACCCAGCAACGAAGGGGGCGTAAACATCAACACCCTGAAGGAACTTTCTTGTGCTCTTTTTATGTGTCAATCAACACATCGCCTAATTAGTATGAGAGATCTACACTTCTATGTTCCTTTTTTATCTATCTTCTAAATGCTACTGTGTATGGGTTCCAACTCTTTTTTTGCTATGCAATGTTACTGTGTGTGAAATCTATCTTCTTTTTATTTTCTTCTTATCCATATTATCAGTTTTTTATTTTTTTTGTTCAGTATTAAAACTTTTTATTTTTTCCTTTTTCTTTTAATGTTCAATGTCTTTATGGTTTTTTTACTTGCAAGCGCAACTCTTGTATAGTTTTCCACAGCTACAAGTATTTATCAGGTGTTGTTGCAGCCACAAGTCTTGTATAGAATTTTCTTTGCAACGTCAAGCCTTCTAGGGTGTTGTTTGCAGCCTCAAGTTATAGGCGCAATTGCAATTTTCCAATGTCGGGAGGCAATTGCAAGGTCTTCAACCTCGTGGCGCAACTGCAATTTCCCAACGCCTGGACGCAACTGCAAGGTTTTTGCATCCTTGAGACGCAGTTGCAAGTTTTCAAACTTGAGGTGCAACTGCAAGTTTTCAAATGTCGGATGCAACTACAACATTTCAGACGCGATGCACAACTGCAAGTTTCCAACCCTCAAGGCGCAACTGCAAGTTCCCAATGTATGGACGCAACTGAAAGATTTTTCAACCTCGAGACGCAACTGCAAGTTTTCAAACTTGAGGGGCAACTGCAAGTTTTCCAATGTCGGACACAACTACAAGATTTCAAACTCAATGCGCAATTGCAAGTTTCCAAACTCGAGGTGCAATTGAAAGGTTTTTCAATCTCGAGACGCAACTGCAAGTTTTCAAACTTGAGGCGCAACTTCAAGTTTTCCAATGTCCGGATGCAACTGCAAGGTTTTCAACCTCGAGGCGCAACTGCAAGTTTCCGAATGTCCGGACGCAACTGCAAGTTTTGAAAATGTCGAGACGCAACTGCAATGTCGGACGGTGTTGAGTGGGCCCTGGTCGTCGGAGATGGTCTCAAGGACGCGGCAGCTAGCGACGGCCAGGAGGGAGAGGAGGAGCACGACGAGGGTGGCGAGGCGGTTGTAGCAGGAACAGAAGGTCTCTCCAGGTGGAGTCAGACGGGAGCGGACCGGGGCAATTGTCAGACGCAACTACAAGATTTTAAACTCAATGCGCAGTTGCAAGTTTCCAACCTTGGGGTGCAAGTGCAAGTTTTCAAACTTGAGGCGCAACTGCAGGGTTTTCAAACTTGAGGCGCAACTGCAAGTTTTCCAACGTCCAGACGCAATTGCGCAACTGCAAGTTTTCCAATGTCGGATGCAACTACAAGATTTCAAACTCAATGCGCAATTGCAAGTCTCCAAAATCAAGGTGCAACTGCAAGTTTTCAAACTTGAGGCGCAACTACAAGTTTTTCAACCTCGAGGCGCAACTGCAAGTTTTCCAATGTCCGGACGCAACTGCAAGTTTTCAAACTTGAGG